CCCCTTCTCTTGCGCCCCGACTCTCCACCCCTCCTCCTTCCCATCTCTCAGTAACCCAAATGTCGTCTTCCTCTGTAATACCGGCATTACAATGTACAAAATGAAGTAATTTATACTTTCTGAGCCTGCCACCACGATTGAAACCTTGTGAGAATTTAAAAGAATTGCGAGATTCTAACCAAAACCAAAGAAATGAAATGTTAAAAAATTTTAGACGAAGCTGTTTACGACAGTGATAACAATCCACCGAGCTTATGAGACATCCAAGCTGTATCGGGAACTGAAGATGCGTGGCGCAATCGTTAACGATGAGCACCAGCTTCGAATCCTGCCGCAGGAGCAGCAATGCGATCGCTTTGACGGCGTTTGGAATCTAAGCAGTGATCAGGTCTACATTTTGGCTCACTCAGAAGTAGCGGATTGCTACCTTAGTCTTGAGTTCGAAAATTCTCGAATCGACTTGCCTTGACATATGTGTCTACGAAACGCATAGTTTTTGTAGTCAAAGGAGAAACTTGATTAGTATGATGGGTGTATATTAGCCTCAGATAATAAGAATCGCCATTCCTGGCTTTGGCTCCCCTATCTTCTTAGTAAGCTTGCTGCAGTGCTTGAATAAGCTCCTCTCTTCGTTAAAAGGAGAACTGGCAAAACACAGTTTTCATTGCATGGCCTTTTTGTTCACATCGAAAAGCATAGAGGACAAAATCATTACCTGAAAGAAAAAATAGGTGAACGGATGAGCTAAATTCTGCCCAGAAGATACTGTACTCAGCAACATCGTACAAGATTATGAAGGGCAGGGATAATACACAAGAACGAAAGCGCATAAAAGAGGATAGAGACAATTCCGAGAATTCGAATTTTAATAGGACTGAAAAAGTTGGAAGATGTAGGAAGAAACATCAGTTCTGAAACAAGGTTCAGATCCTTCTCCGGGACATTAGCTGTATCACAAATGAATTCTTTCTGGCAGCTTGCCGTTTTTGAAATGTTATTTTTTTTTTATCGATATTCATCTACATATGATTTATTTGAGGGGACGCTGGGTGTAATGATACTAACGAATATCAGGATTGTTTGGTTTGCGACTACGAATGCAATGTAC